ATTGGCTTGGTGGTCAGGCAGTATCTAGCTCAGGACAGGCAGATTCGGTCACACGGTCATTTGATGTCCCATAATCACTGTCTCTGCTTGGGTCCAGTAGGTACCAGAAGCTGCTTTCAGTGGGTGAGTAGCTCTGCCATTCACCAGGCGTGGTCTCGCTTCCAACTCCTAGGAGCGTGCATCATGGATCTCCTGCTGGGGTTCTGCCACACAGGCTCCCTATCTTCCACAAATAAGCACAACTGTAACCCGCTGGTTCGGCCACATGGCAAGGGAACCCATCCTCCAATCTCCACCTTCAACACAGCTCTCCTTTGCTCTAGGCCCCATTCAGAACTGGCAAGTCTTCCAAGTCATCAATGGGTCACAACAGTATTCCCAAGTGTGGTACATGTTGACTCCAAAATCCAGAGGTCCATCAAGTGTCACGCCCACTTCTTTATGACAGGGATGCAAACGTGCAGTAACTCGTCCTTATCTCAGAGGTGACACCCTGGTATGATGCCCTGGTTTGCCCCATCACACTGCACCCCTGAAGACTTCACTACTGACAGATTCCAGAACTTTTTTAAAAAATTTTTATTTATTTTTAGAGAGAGGGGAAGAGAGAGAGCAAGAAAGGGAGAGAAACATCAATGAGTGATCGGCTGCCTATCGCGCGCCCCCAACTGGGGACCTGGCCCACAACCCAGACATGTGCCCTGGACTGGGAATCAAACTGGCAACCTTCGGTTCTCATGCTGGTGCTCTATCCAGTGAGCCACACCAGCCAGGGCCGACTCCAGAACTTCTGAGGGCTTATCGCTCATTCTCTGACATGCACTGTCTTTCCAAGGACAAAGCACTGGTCACTTCCTTCTGCACCACGTCCAGGTAGCATGTCATCAATGTTATGTGGAATATCTGGATGATCAAGGTCTCCGTGGGCTACTCTGTGACAGAGAGAAGGAGAGTTAAAACAGCCATGAAGCAAGACAATGAATGTGTTTGTCTATCCTTCCCATATAAATGTGAGCCTCTTTTGGAAATGTACTCTTTACTACTGGAAATTGAAAAGAATTTTCACCACACCAATAAGTGCAATAGATACTAAATAAAAATTGCTGACTAAATCTACAATATTCAGCCTTTCTCATCTCACGGTGCACACAAATTACTAAAATTCTGTGGCAAACCAAAAATATTTGTATTTTTGCTGGTATGACCAAAAATAGGTTTAATTTTGGTTCATTCATACCAGATGGCTATTGTTGTGTTGGCTGTTGTCCTTTATTTGACAATCTAAGGGAAAAGAGGTCAGTGACCCTGACTAAATAATCAGGTCTTGCATATTTTAAAAATTCTTGTGACATGCCAGTTGAAAATCACTGAACTGAATGAATAAGTGAATGCATCTTTGAACTGTAAGTTATTAACCCCTCTGTCTCTGCCTTCATTTTCTCCAAAGTTGTGATCTATACAGCTCTTCCTGGAATATTCATTTTCCCTCTTTAATGAACATATAAGTTCCAGACTCCTATATATTCTCAATGATTCTAAAGATGATCTAAGGAATAAGGCACTAAAAGCTTACATTAAAAGTATAAGAAATAGGACTTCCAGCCAGGATGGAAGCATAGGTAGATACACTTTGCCTCCTCACACAACCAAAAGGAGGACAAGTTGAAAAGAAAAATTAACCAGAAAAATGAACTGCAAGGAAATCTGACAACCAAGGAGCTAGAGGAGAAACATTCATCCAGACTGGTAGGCGTGCGGAGACGGGCACCTGGGGCGAAGAGGATTCGCGGCAAGGCAGCAGCTGGAGGACCAGGCGGGCGAGGCCACAGCTGGCAGACCACGTGGTCCCACATTTACGTGCGGACAGATCGGAGGAACAGCTGCGGAGCAAGACAGACTGTGCCATCCAGGGTCCCAGTGCGGGAAAAGAAAGCCTCACAACCTCTGGAGGTAAAAACGTGTGGTGTTGTGGCTCTAGGAGAAACTCCCAGATTCTCAGGAGAGCCCTTTGGAGAGACCCACTGGGTCCTAGAATGTACACAAACCCACCCACCCAGGAATCAGCACCAGAAAGGCCCAATTTGCTTGTGGGCAGTGGGGGAAGTGACTGAAAGCTGGCAGAGAGCCAAGTGAACAGCATTGTTCCCGCTCTGACCCTTCTCCTTGCCCCGCCCTGTCAAATACCTAAGGCACCATCCCTTCCAACGGTTTCTAAGGCAGACCGAGAAAAAGAAATATGGCCCAAATGAAAGAACAGATCAGAGCTCCAAAACTAGATCTAAGTGAAGAACAGATAACCAACTCATCAGATGCACAGTTCAAAACACTGGTAATCTGGATGCTCACTGAATTGGTTGAGTATGGTCGCAAAATGGAGGAAAAAACGAAGGCTACACAAAATGAAATAAAGAAAAATATACAGGGAACCAACAGTAAAGGGAAGGAAACTGGGACTCAAATCAACCATTGGGAGCAGAAGGAAGAGATAAACATTCAACCAGAACATAATGAATAAACAAGAATTTTTAAAAATGAGGAGAGGCTTAGGAACCTCTGGGACAACTTTAAATGATCCAACATCTGAATCATAGGGGTGCCAGAAGGAGAAGAGGAAGAGCAAGAAACGGAAAACTTTTTTGAAAAAATAATGAAGGAAAACTTCCCCAATCTGGCCAAGGAAATAGACGTCCAGGAGATCCAGGAAGCTCAGAGAGTCCCAAAGAAGTTGGACCCGAGGAAGCACACACCAAGGCACCTCAAAATCACATCACCCAGGATTGAAGACAAGGAGAGACTCTTAAAAGCAGCAAGAGAAAAGGAGACAGTTCCCTGCAAAGGAGTTCCCAAAAGACTGTCAGCCGATTTCTCAAAAGTCACTTTGCAGACAAGAAGGGGCTGGAAAAGGAGCATTCAAAGTCATGAAAGGCAAGGACCTGCTTCCAAGAGGACTCTACCCAGCAGAGCCATCACTTAGAACGAAAGGGCAGATACAGTGCCGCCCAGAGAAGGTCAAGTTAAAGGAGTTCATCGTCACCAAACTTTATTCTATGAAATGATAAAGGGACTAATCTAAGAAAAAGAAGATCAGAAACTATGAACAGTAAAGCAGAGGGGAGGGGGAAGAATGGGGGGAAAGGGACAGGGAATAAGCAGCATAAATAGCAGGTCCCACAGGCGGGGGGAGGTGAAGAAAAGCATGGGAACTGGAGACGCCGAGGAACTCACATGTACGACCCACGGGCATGAGCTGAGGGGGGAGGTGCGGGGGGGGGACGGGTGGGGGGAGGGGAATAAAGGGAGAAAAAATGGGACAACTATAGTAGCATAATCAATAAAATATATAAAAAAGAAAAAAGTATAAGAATATATGATCTTCTAATAATCAGTATATCCAATTAGCTATGTGTTCTGAATTATTTTTATTTCTCTAACACTGAGACTGAGAAGTGGGAAATGGAGTATTTCTAACAAAATAAAAGTTGAAAGGAATTGCACTGGCTTTTCCACTAGCTCCCCTTTACAGGTGTCTACTTACACCCACACCGGCATGCAGGCGTACGAATCCGCAACTTTTTCTAAGAAAAAACCGGACGGTCCCATATGCACGTTAGCCCACAAGTGACACACCGCGGCTGTCCCCGCGGGGTTCGCAGGTCCACGCCGCTCTTTTTAAGGGCTGCGCGACGTTCCGCGTACCAACGGCCGTTTCCTCCCTCCTGCCTCCTCGGACGGCCCCGAGCTGATTTCGCTCACGTGGCGCCACCCGGGCTTTGCAGCGGCGCCCAGGTGCACGGAGCGGAGGTACCGGGACCGCCACTGCGTCTCTGAGGGGACACCGCCTCGCTTCCGAGGCACTGACCCGGGGGGTGAGTGGGGGGCCGAATTCCAGGGGCCGCCCCTGTGCGCCTGCCCCCACGGCTCTCGCCCCACAGGCGCGAGGTCCCCGCGCGGCTCCCCCACGCGGCCCAGTCGCCGCGCCGCCTGGGAGCGCACGGGGGCGGGGACCTCCCGGGGGCTGGGGCCGGGGCTCCGCTCCGCCTGCGTCCCCTCAGGACCCGCGGCTCCGGAGGCTGCGGGCGCCCCGCTCAACGGCAGCTCAGACCCTGCACCCAACCGCGCCGCGGGTCGGAGAGCCCTTTTTCGGAAGGAGACCTGTCCCCGCGGGGAAGCCCTGAGGAGGGAACTTGTGCACACACTTGCGGTAACACCGTGCGGCCCCTCTCGCTCTCAGCCAGGCAGCTCCGGGCCCAGCGCGGGCTCAGACGCAGGCGGGGCGAGGAACCGGGAACCGCGGTTTTCCGCCGCGGCAACTGCCCTCCGCCTTCGGCGCGCGATTCCTCGTCTCCGCCAGCCGCCCGCCCGTCCGTCTCACCCGCCAACGCCGCGGCCCCCGGGCGGCCCCCAGAGCCGGGCTCGGCCGCGGCGCAGCCCCACGCGCCTGCTCCAGGGCCCAGCCTTCTCCGCCGGGTTTGATTTTGCAACCGGTTCGACGTCTGGAGGCAAGAGGGGTGGTTCCAAGCAGACGAGCCTCCTCTCAGAGCCGCGCTCCCCCTAGCACGGCGCCCAGCGGTGACTGGGAATGTAGGGCCCGAGGGGCCGCTGGCGTTGTCCCGAGGGTCCCACTGTTTCCTTCACATCCAGTGTTTGTTTATGCGGCACCGACTCTCCGCCTCCCCCAGCTGTGACCCACGCTCCAGACGGGCCACACTCACACGATGGCTCCCTTCCTGCCGGTTGCCCGGTGAGGGGCCGCCGCCGCCCGCGATGCCCCGTCCGCTCCGCACCCAGAGACCGCCCGGCTTCCCCGCGGCCCCCGCCTTCAGAGCGCACCCTCCGCGGCGCCCCGGCGCACAGGCCCGTTAGCGCGCTCCCGAGACGCACCGCCCGTCCACGTGACTGGCCAGCGTGACCCATCCCAGGCAGCGCGCGCTGCCGCTCACGACGCTTCTGATTGGTGAACGCCGCTTCCTGTGTTTCCAGGGGCCACGCCCACAGGGCGCGCGAGGAGGGGCCGGGTACAGCGGAGACGCGCAGAATTCGGCCCTCGGAACGGGCTCCGGACCGGGGTCACGGACAGGGCCGAGTGGCGCCGCAGAGGGCCGGACTGAGCCGGAGAGACCCGAGTCCGACCAGAGACCCGCAGGCGGGCCGGAAGTAGGGCCGAGCGCAGCCGATCCCGCCCGAAGGCGGCTGACGGCGCTGGGCATTGGGCCCCGGCGAGCCCGAGCCATGGCGGCTGAAGGCAGTGATGTGGTCCGAGGCGGGGCTGTCGGCGGCCCCCAGGCTAAGGACAGCTTGCGGCAGTCTAAGTGCTCGGACGCGGCCCCGCATCGGCGGCGCGGCTCGGCGCAGTCGCCTGACGCCGAGCGCCGAGCCTACCAGTGGTGCCGGGAGTACCTGGGCGGTGCCTGGCGCCGAGTGCGGCCGGAGGAGCTGAGGGTTGACCCCGTGAGGTGGGAGGTCAGGGGGCAGCCCCTCCGATGCGCGGGAGCGGGACGGACGGGCCGGGGCGGGGAGCCAGCGGAGGACTGAGACCCCGGTGTGCTCCGTAGCGGGGGCCTCAGCAACCTACTCTTCCGCTGCGCGCTGCCGGACCACCTGCCCAGCGTTGGCGAGGAGCCCCGGGAGGTGCTGCTGCGACTGTATGGGGCCATCCTGCAGGTGAGGATGCAGTGAGGCCTTGCCACCGAAGCCTGGCAGGTGGTACTGCCCCGCCGGGGCTCAGGGGCCGAGGGACGTGCCAGTTATTGGCTGAAGCCTGTGTTCTGGGGCCTCCGGGTAACAGAGCGCGCCCCAGAGGCGCCGGGAGCAGAACGCAGACCCTCTGCGCATCGGCGCTGCCTGGCCGCTGGCCGCGCGACTCCTGCCCCTTGCTGTCATTCTCCTCCAGGGCGTGGACTCCTTGGTCCTTGAAAGTGTGATGTTCGCCATCCTTGCGGAGCGGTCCCTGGGGCCCCAGCTCTACGGAGTCTTTCCAGAGGGCCGACTGGAACAGTACATCCCAGTACGAGGCACCTCCTTCCCCAGCCCCTGTCCCCTTCCCAGTGTCTGCCCTCACTCCCTGCCTCGAGACCCTGACCTCTCCCCACGACCCCATCCCTCCCCCCTCCTGCCCCAGCCCTCTCACCACCCTGAGAGGTTCCTGGGTGCAGAGCCGGCCACTGAAAACGAGAGACCTCCGGGAGCCCGTGTTGTCAGCAACCATCGCCACGAAGATGGCCCGGTTCCACGGCATGGAGATGCCCTTCACTAAGGAGCCCCGCTGGCTGTTTGGGACCATGGAGCGGTGAGTCAGGGGCCTTGGCAGGGCTCTGCACACCTGGGCTGAACCCTCGGGCTGGCAGCTGCCACACTGGGCTGTGGCAGTGGGCCCATGACTGTCCAGCCGGCCGCCAGTTGAGTGGACCAGGTGTCCCAGGGTCTAGCATGATCGCTCCAGAACCAGCTTCCAAACCATTTGCCAGACAAGCCATACCATGACAGAACAGCTAGGATAGCCCGGCCCAGGGGGTGGAGAGGGATAGCAGAGCACAGAGCGTGTGTGTCCTACTCTTTGGACCTCAGGTACCTAAAGCAGATCCTGGACCTGCCCCCCACCGGCCTCCCCCAGGTGAACCTGCTGGAGATGTACAGCCTGAAGGATGAGATGGGCAACCTCAGGTGAGGGCAGGCAGCACAGGACGGGGAGGGGGCGGGAGGGGGCGGGAGGGGCGGGCAGGGGGTGCCGCGGGAACCTTCAGCACCCTCTCCCCAGGGTTCGCTGAGAGGGCGGGTCTGGCCCTCCTCTAGTCACTGCTGCTCCGACACACGCCCCTGTCCCTGGCAGGAAGTTGCTAGACTCTACCCCGTCACCAGTGGTCTTCTGCCACAACGATATCCAGGAAGGTAGGAGAAGTCATCTGAGTCTTCCAACCTAAGGCGAAGGGGCCACAGGGCCCTGGGTGACCAGAACCCACCACATTCCCCCAGGGAACATCTTGTTGCTCTCAGAGCCAGAAAATGCTGACAGCATCATGTTGGTCGACTTCGAGTACAGCAGTTACAACTACAGGTGAGACCCAAGGCCCCCGCCCTGGGAAATGGACCGGGCCCTCATCTCTGCCTCCCAGCCACCCAGGGGATTCGGGGACTGAGTGTCCGCCTTGTTCCTCCAGGGGCTTTGACATTGGGAACCATTTTTGTGAGTGGGTGTATGATTATACTCACGAGGAGTGGCCTTTCTACAAAGCACAGCCTGCAGACTACCCCACCCGGGAACAGCAGGTACAGGGTGGAGGCTGGGAATAGGACCTGGCCTGTGAGCAGGGAGGAAGGTGGAGCCTGGACGGAGTGAGGAGAAAGAGTACTCGCTGGGAAGCGCTCCGGTCTCCCCATTTCCTGACTCTGGTGTTTTGACCGTAGCTCCATTTTATTCGCCATTACCTGGCAGAGATAAAGAAAGGTGAGACCATCTCCCAAGAAGAACAGAGGAAACTGGAAGAAGATTTGCTGGTAGAGGTTAATCGGTGAGGTTAATCACCAGGCAGAGCGGGGCGCGGGGGGCGGGGGGCGGCGCACAGCTGGGGAAGATGCAGGCAGGTGCCAGTGCCAAGGAGGGGGTGGAAGCGGGAGAGTCTGGGCGTGGCTGACAGAAGAGGGGGGCAGGGTGTGGGTTAGAGCAGGAGGGGAGCAGCGAGAGCCGTGCAGTCCCGGCAAGGCCAGATGCACGCTCATCCCCCACCCCCAGGTACGCTCTGGCGTCCCATTTCTTTTGGGGTCTCTGGTCCACCCTGCAGGCATCCATGTCCACCATAGAATTCGGTTACCTGGTGAGTACCTGGCGGCGCGGTAGGTGGGGGAGGGGAGCAGCAGGGGCCTGGGGTCCCCCAGGAGCTCTGGGCAGTCCTGGGATGCTGTGGGCAGGCTGGGCGGCTGTGGGCGCTCGTCCCAGGCCTGCTCACCAGTGTGGGGGGTGGTCTCCTCCCCAGGAGTACGCCCAGTCCCGGTTCCAGTTGTACTTCCAGCAGAAGGGGCAGCTGACCAGCCTCCACCCCCCATCCTGATTCTCCACCCCCAGCTCCTTGGATGTTCCCAGAGCCTCCAGGGCAGGACCTTGGAGGGAGGGGCCAAGAGCAAGAGGCCCTGGGGAGTGGGCTGAGCCCCACGAGAGGGGCTGAGGAGGCTGACCTCTCCCCCACTTTGGGCAGGTCCCCACAAGCAGGAACCCCGGGGCTGTGCACCTTGAAACAATAAACGAGCTTCTTCCTTCACATCCTGGCCTAGCCCTGCTCAGTCCAACAGGAAGTACCAGCCGGGGACTCACTCAAATTGACAGAGTGACCGCTGCTCTGAGCCTCAGTTTCCCTTCCTGAAAAACATGGCAGTTCAGTGCTCTGCACTTGAAAGTTAAGGGTCCACTCCGCCAATTGGAGGCCCCTCCCCTACAACCCGCTCCCCGTCCAGATCCCGTTCAGAAGCTATAAATGCTCGAGGAACTGCGGAGGGGACTGGGGAGTAATGGGGTGCAAAGAGCGCCCTGGGTGGGGCTGTCCAGCCCTGTGCTCTGGAGATCAGGGGCCCAGCAGGTCAGCTGACACAGATGACCTTTTCCCTACATTCAACTATTTTTAGCTCCAATGCCACCGTCCTCACGTGAGACCCTCTGCCCCACCCCCACGCCGCCCCACCCCCACCCCCCACCGCGGGCTTTCAGACCTTGGAGTGGGCCTCACCTCGCAGAAGCCTGGCCGTCCCGCCCCGAGTTCCTCCGTGCAGGGGAGGGGGCCTAGGTGCCGCCCGCGTCTATTTTCTCAACCCCAATTTGGGAGTTGGTGTCAGGTTCCCGCTGAGGGCGGGGCAGGGGCGGCCAGCCTGAAGGACGCGGGGACACTGGCCAGAGTGGCCCCGCACGCAGACAGGAAGGAGTGAGCCCGAGCTGTGCTGTGAGTGGAGTGGGGGGGGGGGGGCAACACAGGGCTCCAAGCGCCGTGTGGGGGCGAGGACGCGCGAGGCCCCCGGCGGTCGGGGCTGGGGGCACCGGAGCCGCCTCGCCCTCGGCAGCAAGCCTTCCCGGGGCACCTCTCGCCTCCGCCCCGAGGCCGCCCTTCACCGACCTCCGGGATCCTGACGTTTTCAAGGCCTTGAGCGCCACGCCTGAGCCCAGCACCACCGGCGGGCCATGCCCTGAACGCGGGCGCAAGGATTCGCGGCCGTTGGCCGGGCTAGGGGGTCCGGGCCGGCAGGCCTGGGGCACTGGCGGGGCTGCGGCTAGCCGGGCGGGGGCAGGGGCAGGCCGCGGGCGGGGCTTCGGCGGGGGTGGGGTAGGCCAGAGCCCGCCTGGACACCCTCCCGCCCCCTCCCAGGTGCCGGCCAGCCCCCAGGATGGCGGAAGCGCACCAGGCTGTGGCCTTCCAGTTCACCGTGACCCCAGATGGGGTTGACTTCCGGCTCAGTCGGGAGGCCCTGAAACACATCTATGTGTCCGGGATCAACTCCTGGAAGAAACGCCTGATCCGCATCAAGGTGGGCGCAGGTGATTCTCCTGGCCTCTTCCTGCCAGCAGGTGCAGAATAGAGCCTTGCGGAGGCAGCGGCCAGGTGCGGTGAGCTGCTCCGTTGTCCAGCGCTCCACCCCCACCGCAGCGGGCAGTCCTGCTGGGGAATAGGCTCTAGCAGCACAGAAACGAGGGGGCCGCTCAAGGTGTGGGGGGGGACGGGTATGCAAGAAGCGCTGGGGGGCACTGAGCAGTTGGGTGCTGCAGGCGTCGGGTGAGGAGGAAGGGAAGACCAGATGCGAGGCAGTAAGGACAGCAGGGGACCAAAGGGGAAAGCCTTCCAGGCAGCTTGCGTGTTTCTGCCCCGCAGAACGGCATCCTTAGGGGTGTGTATCCTGGCAGCCCTACCAGCTGGCTGGCCGTCGTCATGGCAACCGTGGGTTCTTCCTACTGCAATGTGGACGTCTCCAAGGGGCTGATCTGTTATATCCAGAGGCACCTCCCTCAGGGGTGAGGAACGGGGCACAAAAGAGGTCAGGCGGGCTCCAAGGCCAGGGTTCCTGAGCTGGGCAGGCACAGGACGACGGCCATTAGAGATCATAGGGCCGCCCTCCCCCTGGCCACACCATCTCAGTCCCGTGTCCCCGAGTGTGTGTGTTGCACCTCGTTGTGAAGGTGCCCAGGGAGGTTCTTCTCCTTCAGAGCCAGGTGGTTCCCAACCATGGGGAGCGCGGGGCCGGGCTTTCCCCGAGGGGCCTCCAGTGGACGCCTGCAGCCCTCTCCCCTTCTCTGACAGACACGGCCCCTACCAGAACCCCCAGACGCGGGCGCTGGTCAGCATGGCCGTCTTTTCCACGGGGGTCTGGATGACAGGCATCTTCTTCTTCCGCCAAACCCTGAAGCTGCTGCTTTCCTACCACGGCTGGATGTTTGAGATGCACGGCCAGACCAGCCGCGTCACCAAAGCCTGGGCTGTGAGCAGAAGCGGGTGGAGGGCTTCTGGCATCCGGTTGGAGATCCCGGGGCCTCACTGGGGGTCCTGGCTGGAGGGGACAGGCAAGGGGCACTGGTGCCTGGTGCACGGGTTGGTCCTGGTTCTGAGAACTCGGGGCCCAGCTCCTCAGTGTTCGTTAGCTCGTTCCCATTCTCTTCCCTGCTCCCCCGCCCAACACTCTCTGCTCTGCATCCCCAGATGTGCGTCCGCCTTCTGTCCAGCGGGCGGCCCATGCTGTACAGCTTCCAGACGTCCCTGCCCAAGCTTCCCGTGCCCAGCGTGCCGGCCACGATTCAGCGGGTGAGGACCTGGGTCAGGCGTCCTGGTAGGCAGTGTAGGCTGGACTCAGCACTTGTCCAAACGTGAGGGACTCTCCCCGTCAAAGGTTGGATTTGAGAGCAGTGGGGCTGGGGTCAGAACAGGGTTGGGCAGAGACAGCCACTGTTGTCTGGCCCCCGCGCTGACGGTGACCTGGCTGGACAGTACCTAGAGTCCGTGCGGCCCTTGTTGGATGACAAGCAGTATCACCGCATGGAGACGCTGGCCAAGGAATTCCAGGACAAGACTGCCCCCAGGCTGCAGAAGTACCTGGTACTCAAGTCGTGGTGGGCAGCTAACTATGTGAGTGCCCCTCCTGGGCTTCCCCTCACCCACTTCACGTCCCGGCTGCCGCCACCCTGCCCTCGCCACAGCCCTGACCTCCCGCGCTCCCGCAGGTGAGTGACTGGTGGGAAGAGTACATCTACCTTCGAGGCAGGACGCCCATCATGGTGAACAGCAACTATTACGTCACGGTAAGAGGTAGAGCAACGTGGCACCTGTGGTCAGCTCTGTCCCCAGCTGCAGGTCTCGGGACAAAGGGCCCGGCGGACAACCCAGAGCCCTGGTGGTGGTTTCCACGGGCGAAGGGGAATTTGGAGTGAGGCCCCAGGGAAAGGGGCTGTGGGGGAGGCCCTGAGAGAACAGTCTGGAAGTAGCTTAGCGGCGACAGAGATGCTGCGGGTCCAGGACCCCGCAGCCCCACAGCCTGACGTGGTCACTCTCAGGGTCCCTGGGGCTCCCTTCGCCCCCACTTCCTTCCTCGGTTCCCTCAGTGGCGTCCTGGCCATGGGCTCTCCGCCGTCCGGGAGCCATGACCAGGAACTCCCTTAGGCAGGCCTTCCTCTGTGCCACTCTGCGGACCCAGGGCTCCTTCCCCCAGCACCCGGGAGACCACTGTTGGCCCCTCCGCCATGTGCCTGGCCCTCTCCAGCCCCAGCTGGGGACCGCACGGCACATGCAGTGCTCTCCCGCTGTCCAGAGAGTGCCCTGCGTTGCAGGCTGGATCCCCTGCCTCCCCAAACAGTCCTCTCAGGAACACACACGGCTCATCGGTACCTGAGATTTTAAGCCGTTTTTCTAGTGGTGGGAACCCCTTTCTCAAAGCAAAGTAAACAAAACATAAACAAGTAGGTTATGGAAAAGCAGCTGAAGTCAGAGCTGGGGCCAAGGAGGGACATGGTCAGTTGGGCATTACATCTTTGGCAGCCCACCTGACAGTGCGGGATGGAGTGGGGACAAGGGACAGGACACCTCCGGCCATGGGCAAGGAGACCAGGTGGCACCCTGCCCCTGTCAGCTGCCCTGCAGCCTCGGCTCTGTCTTGTAGGACTTTGTGCTCATCAAGAACACAGACGTGCAGGCCGCCCGCTTGGGAAACGTCGTTCACGCCATGATCACGTACCGCCGGAAACTGGACCGTGAGGACATCAAGCCTGTGAGTGGCGGCGGGCTGAGGGCTGAAGGGAGAGGAGGCCCTGTCTTAGCTGTGCTGTGCCTCCCTCCCAGGTGATGGCGCTGGGCATCGTGCCCATGTGCTCCTACCAGATGGAGAGAATGTTCAACACCACTCGGATCCCGGGCAAGGAGACAGGTATGGCCAGAGCGCCAGGGTGGGGCCGTCGGGACAGAGCCCCCTCGCTGCCATGGCTAGGTGCCTACTATGCATCTGCCACCATGCGTCCTCGCTGTCTCGGGGTGTGTAACTGTCTGAGAGCCCGTTGCTGACCTACGCTAGACACCTGCAGTTTGCAGGTGCGATGCTAGTGCTGGGGCCAAGTGTCCGCCGCAGGGGCCCCCGGGGCGGGGCGGGCATCCCCTGAGCGAGGAGCGCTCGGAGGAGGGGTTGAGTGCCGCTGCCCCTCGCGGGGCGGGCTGGCTGGGGCTGGCAGGACGGAGCAGCAGCCTGCGTTTCCGTCATTTCCGACATCGGGCGTTTGGGTCATTTCCTCGAGTTCTGGTTTCCTCCTCTGTGAAATGCCCCCTGGGACTGTGGTTGGCGTGACCGGGAGGTATGGACGCTCTGGGCAACTCCGCCCCTGGGAAGGAGGCCCAGGCAGAGGCCTGGCTGAGCAGGGGCCACGTGAGCCACCCAGCCAGCACATGGCTGGGGGCCCCAGGCCAGGACGGCGGGAAGGGCGGTGCTCCCTGCCCTCCGCTGTCCTGCCTCAGCCGCGCTGGCCTCCATCACAGACGTGCTGCAGCACCTTGCAGAGAGCAGGCACGTGGCCGTCTACCACAAGGGCCGCTTCTTCAAGGTGTGGCTCTACGACGGCTCCCGCCTGCTCCAGCCCCGGGAGCTGGAGCTGCAGTTCCAGAGGATTCTGGATGACCCGTCCCCGCCCCAGCCCGGGGAGGAGAAGCTGGCAGCCCTCACTGCGGGCGGAAGGTACCTCTGGGGGCAGGGCTGTCCTGGCTGAGGTTCAGGTCCCTGAGGGGAGGGGCGTCCCCAGCACAGAGTCCCCTGCTCTGACTGGGACCCTTGGCAGTGAGGGGCAGTGGTGGCAATGGCGGGGGAGTGGCTGCTGTCCCTGCTAACAGGTGTGTGGGAGGCAGGGACCCCTTCCAGGACAGTCGCAGACCCTGCCAGGCCCTGGGCGGGGCCCTCGTCCTCAGCCGAGTGGCCTGTGCTCACCCTGCCCTCACGCCCCAGAGTGGAGTGGGCGCAGGCGCGCCAGACCTTCTTCAGCTCTGGCAAGAACAGGGCTGCTCTGGATGCCATTGAGCGCGCTGCCTTCTTCGTGGCCCTGGACGAGGAGTCTCACTGCTACGACCCCGGGGACGAGGCCAGCCTCAGCCTCTACGGCAAGGCCTTGCTGCACGGCAACTGCTACAACAGGTACGGCGCCGCCCTGCTCGGCCTGCACCCGCCCTGCCTGGCTCCTCGCCCGCCCCCTCGTCACCGTCTCCCGGCCCTGCAGGTGGTTTGACAAGTCCTTCACCCTCGTCGCCTTCAAGAACGGCCAGTTGGGCCTCAACACGGAGCACTCGTGGGCAGACGCCCCTATCGTAGGGCACCTCTGGGAGGTAACGGCCAGAGGAGTCCCACGGGGCAGGCCCTGGGGGACGGGGCAGGGGTTAGGGTGGCCTCTCAGCCTGACCTTCTCCCTGCAGTTTGTCCTGGGCACCGACATCTTCCACCTGGGCTACACGGAGACAGGGCATTGCCTGGGCAACCCGAACCCCATGCTGCCACCTCCTCAGCGGCTGCAGTGGGACATTCCCGAGCGGGTGCGTAGGCCAGGAAGGGGCAGGGATGGACATGCGAGAGTGACAAGTACCTGGGTGCTCTGCTGCCTCCTCCCCTCCAGCCAGCCCCACCCACAGCGGGCGGCCCCAGGGAGAACCAACCTCTGGCCAGGGGGTGGGGAGAGACGCCGTGAGGTGTGAGCCCCCTGCTCTTGGGGCACGGGTCAGCGCCTCCCCGACCGGAGGCGCCCTGCCCGGTCGCCAGACCCTCCCCTTGTCCCCGCAGTGCCAGGCAGCCATCGAGAGCTCCTACCAGGTGGCCAAGGCGCTGGCAGACGATGTGGAGCTGTATTGCTTCCAGTTCCTGCCCTTCGGCAAAGGCCTCATCAAGAAGTGCCGGACCAGCCCGGACGCCTTCGTGCAGATTGCGCTGCAGCTGGCGCACTTCCGGGTAGGAGCCGTGACAGGTGCGCGGGCGCGGGGTGGCCCCGGGGCCCGCCTGCCAAGCTCACCCCCTGCACCCCCAGGACAGGGGCAGGTTCTGCCTGACCTACGAAGCCTCCATGACGAGACTGTTCCGGGAAGGGCGGACTGAGACTGTGCGTTCCTGCACCACCGAGTCCACAGCCTTCGTCCGGGCCTTGGTGCAGGGGTCCCACACGGTGAGCCCCCGTGGCCACACAGGGAGGGGCCCTCCGCTCCTGCTGCCCTGAGGGTCAAAGCCACGCCTCACTGCTCTACCCCTGCCCCCCCAGAGAGCAGACCTCCAGAAACTCTTCCGGAAAGCCTCTGAGAAGCACCAGAGCATGTACCGCCTGGCCATGACAGGGGCGGGCATCGACAGGCACCTCTTCTGCCTTTACGTGGTCTCCAAGTACCTGGGCGTCAGCTCCCCCTTCCTGGCAGAGGTCGGTGTTGTGGGGGGCCAGGCCCTCTGTCCCCATCGCCTCATCCCTTGGGTCCTGGCCTGTCTCCACCTGACCGGAGGGCCGGGGTAGGCTCCCCGTCCACACTCCGCCTGGGCCTGTCATATCGCACGGAGACTGGAGTTGGTGCTCCTGTGAGGGGGGCGGGCAGACAGACGTGCAGCAGGGCAGGTGGTGGCAGCAAGCTCTCCGACGGGCGATGGAGGAGAGGCAGGCAGAGGGGTGGCGGGTCAGCCGGCCCCCACGCACAGGGCACAGGGTCGGGGGTTCTGTGCGGGTGCTGTGATGGCGAGCACAGAGTGGGGCACCCGGGCAGCAGCCAGCAAGGCCCTGCACTGGGCTCCTCCTGCATCGCGGGCAGGACGATGCCTGGCTCAGGCAGGTGTGCGCTGAGCGCGGGCCGTCTCACCGCTGCGTCTCCCTTGCAGGTGCTCTCGGAACCCTGGCGCCTCTCTACCAGCCAGACCGCCCAATTCCAGATCCGCATGTTTGACCCAAACAAGTACCCCAATCACCTGGCTGCTGGCGGAGGCTTTGGCCCTGTGAGTGCCCTCAAAAGGGAATGGGTGGGGAGGATGGGGCTGGGGGGCGGCTTTCAGTGGAGAGTGCGGGACCTTGAGGAGGTCAGACCAGGGGCTCGAGCACAGCCTTGGACCTGCCCTGCGTGGGACCCACCTGCGCCAGCACCTCCGCTGAGGGTGCCCGTGCCCGGGGCGGGCTTCCCTGCTGCAGGGTGCAGCTGTCTCCTGGGACACCCACATGGGCTCCTTCGTCAGGTTCTAGAGACGCCCTTGGGGTGACGCTTCTCGAAGGGAACCTGAGGTTCTGGGTCCCGGGTGAAAGCGGGGGAGGAGGACAGAGTTGTTTTGTGTCCACCCTATTTCCTGGGCAGGGTCCTGACCTCAGGAAAAAGACACCAGGGGTGGGGCCTTTCCTGGGGATCTTGTGACAAGTCAGCGTGGCTTCAGATAGACAGTCAAGGCCTAGTTGACCTCTGCGTCCCCCTCGTGCCGCCCTCAGGTGGCGGATGACGGCTACGGGGTCTCCTACATGATCGCAGGCGAGAACACCATCTTCTTCCACGTCTCCAGCAAGTTCTCCAGCTCAGAGACGGTGAGTCTCCTGCTCCCACTCAGACCTAAGGAGGGGGTGCCAGCGGGGCCGGGCCTGGGTAGGGAAGAGTCCTTGTTTGTGGGGACAGAGAGGGCAGGGTTCGCCTGGAGGTCGGCCTGAGCACTTGGCTCCCACAGAATGCCCAGCGCTTTGGGAACCACATCCGCCAAGCTCTGCTGGACATCGCTGATCTTTTCCAAGTTAAGGCCAACAGCTGAAGGCTGGGGAAGGCCAGCTCCCCTTTCATCCCTGTGTGTGGAGGAATGGGCCTGTGGTCAGCTCGCAGGCCCCGGGGGTGACCACGCACAGGTGCCCAGGCTCCAAGGACAGCGCTGGCAGCAGGTGCTCCCCAGCCGACGCTGCTCCCCGAGGCCCATCTGGTGGAGGTGGGATTGGAGCAGGGAGGGAATTTTGATTTTTTTTCTCGCTAGATACTAATAAACATAAGGCTGTGTAATTCTCTCTTAGCCCTTAGGTTCCGGCGTTTTATTTGGGAACTAGGAGACCCTCCCCCTGCCCCAGCTCAGGCCAGGGAGGTGGCAAGGGCGGGGCTGGGGCTGGGAGATGAGAGGCCATAACCTTCTTTGAAAGATGTCTCTGCCAAGGTCACTGTCCATACCACTATGTCCATTTGGAATAAATTCCTGCTTCAGAACCCCCACCTGCCCCCTGGGGCCACTCCTGTTTGTCTGCTGGGGGTGGGGCGGCCTCTCTCCTCTGCGCACAGGCATGCCCTCCACAGCCCTCTGCTCGCGGGCACAGCCCTGAGGGGCTTCCCCCCGGTGCTGCAGCTGCACCAGAGGCTGGTGTCGGGTGGTCATGTCCATGAAGGGCACACAGGGTGGTCTGGAGCAACATATGCTGCTCCCTTCAGGTCAGCTTCCCTATTAAAATAATACTAAAAGTAAGCAAAAAATAATTTTCAAGGAAAGTGCACGCAGGCACTCTGTCACCAGTGCTGCATGCTTTAGCGACTCTAGACGCTGGCACTCTGTAGGTGGCAGCAGGAACCAGAGCTCCCAGGCCGGTGGTACCTGCTGCAGTGGGCGGGAGACTGGAGGCCTGTGGCTGGTGTGAGGCCAGGAGGGGAGAGCAGGCGGGAGCGGGTGGAGTAGGTGGCCAGGAGCTTGTGGCCTGGGCTCCGGCTTCTCTGAATGATGGGCTGAGCCGCCAGGGTTTGAGCAGAGGCGATGATCTGTACTGAGTTTTAATGAGATGAGATCTCTCTGGCTAACTGGGTGGGGGGAGGGTATTCAAAGAATGCTGAGTGTTATTGAAACACAGAAACCTCAAGTAGTAGTACCACTTCCTGATGCTGGAGTCTATATTATTGAAGTTAGAGCATACAGTGAAGGAGGGGATGGAACGGCTAGTTCCCAAATCAGGGTACCATCATATTCAGGTGGAAAAATCACTAGTGCTCAGTCAACCCTCCACACGCTCTCCACATCTTCATCATCAGTAACGTTGCTCTTGGCTTTGATGATTCCTTCAACCTCTTGGTGAAAACTGCAGACTTAATTTGCTTTTATTTGCTTTTCCTTAATAATAGCAGTGAATAGTGTAGTGTAAGTGGAGACCCAGGACACCAAGATGAGCTTTAATGACTTGGGACAACACATGGTGCACTTACAGGAGGCTGGGGGGGGAATGTTACTCATTCATCAGGTTTTTCTTTGTTTTTTGTTAATGGAAAGGACAATTCTTGGTCCAATAAAAATATGCAGATTGTTCGTAATGATTATTTTTAAGCAAATGTAATTTCTGTCAAATGTATTCTTTACTTTTTTATATGTTGGAATTTGACTTTATAACTAATGACTTTAAGTGTGTGCCATCCATTTGTTAAGTGGTTTATAGCAGATATGTTTCAAACACAAATACAAAATTAAGAATAAAAAGTTTGGTTGTGACTCCAAAAAAAAAAAAAAAGGGTAGCGGGGACGGGGACGGAGACCTGTCAGAGGGCAGTGCTCATGGTGGCAGCAGAGTCGGGAGAAACGATGGGACGGAAACGAAGGAACAGAGGATCGGGACGCCGAAAACATCCAAGGTAGGCCCAGCAAACTGGCAAAGAGGCACCGAAGACAGTGCATGTTTTTTACTCTGGGTAATAGGGCCATTGAGTGAGATTTTTGAGTGTTGACTTTGACATGTCTGTAAGAAATATTGATAGAGTCTTGAACACATAAAAGCTAATGAGATCTAGGCTCCTGATACATCTTTAAAGGTAGTTAGACCCCAAGAGCACATGGGAAGACCCCAGGGCAGAGGTGCTTAACCTCTTTTGAGTCTCTGTGAGAGGCTTATAAAAGTGCATCTACACTTATAAAATGTTACATTCCACCTCAGCTTTCTTGGGCTTTCAAGAGCGTTTTCGCAGACCTCTGCCTCTTGGGAGGCCTGCACAGCCTACCCTGGGAAAGTGTCCGTATAGGGGTCCTCTGGGCACGTCAGCCTGCCCAGCCCTGGGAAAGCAGTGAGCTGAGTTTTTATCAGCTGGCTTTTTTTTTTTTAAAGCTTTTATTTATTTATTTTTAGAGAGAGGAGGAGAGATGGAGAAAGAGGAGAGAAACATCAATGTGTGGTTGCCTCTCGCGCGCCCCCCACTAGGGACCTGGCCTGCAACCCAGGCCTGTGCCCTGACGGGGGATCCAACTGGCGACCCTTTGCTTCACAATCCGGTGCTCAGTCCACTGAGCCACACCGGCCAGGGCTGTCAGCTGGCTTTTAATTAATGTTGAAATTCAGCAAAAGTTTTCTGATCTGTTCTTGGTTATAATAAGAGAAAGCATCATGCACAACCAGTGTATAAACTCCTGGTGACAACCCACTGACCCAAACAAGCCCCTTGTGCCCCATGGGTTTGCTGACCTGCACTAGGTAAGGCTGGCAGCTGTAACAGACAAACCCTGAAATCCTAGTGTGGGCTTCATTCCTGCTCACTTGGCTGAAACAGGGTCTGCTCCAGACCATTGTTCAAAGACATGCTGACAGAGGCTTGACTTCCTCAGCTAGTTCCCAAGTTGCCTCAGACATGAGCATCCAACAGGTATGCGAGGGAAGAGAGAGAATCACTCATGGGAGGCTTTTCATGGGCTTGGCCTGACGGTGACTCGGGGACTTGGAGCACTTCCATCTACATCTCACTGGCCTGGACTTACACTGCAAAGCAGGCTGGGAAATGTAGTCTAGCCACATGCCCGGGATATAAAAAAACATTTGGTGAACAGTGAACCAGTTTCAGAAGCACAAGGGCATGGACAGACCAGACTGGCTTCTGTGGGCTCCCGGAGAGCCTACTCTTCTGGGTCTGGGCTCTGCAGGGCGTTTGAGAAGCCCACCTCCATCTGCCAGGCAGGGCTCCCCAGGCCCCTCATATTCCAGCCCAACTGGTCTCAGTCTCTGCCGCTCCACAAGAACCCTGAGCCCCAACCACACTCCCTCAAGTCAGTAGGCTCATCCACGCCCTTGCCTTTTCCTTCACGGAACCTTCTGTCTGGAATCCTGTGCCCTTAGCCTGGCAAACTATTCTCTGAGGCTGCCTTCATTACCCACTACAGTTATTCCTTACTCATGTTTTCCTGGGCAGTCCAAGCAAATGGCAGACGGAGCGGAAGTATGCAGGATGACTCACAGGTGGGAAGGGACAACTTGAGGACCAAGTTGGAGGGCGTGTGGCCTAGGCGGCAGCAGCCTCAACAGATAGGCGGGGACTGGCTCCGCGCCCAGAACGGTCTGTCTCAACCCCAGCTGTGTTTTTCTGCTCTGCAGTCAGCAGACTAAGGATCAGAGTCCCTGAGAGACAACTCAGTGGGCCCCAGATTTGTCGGGAATGTCAAACACAAGGTGTTTAAACACGAAGTTGACAGCCTTCCACACCGGCTTCTCCTCCCCTCTTCCCCAGCTCAGCCAGCAGTGTCGCCCTGGCCCGCTCCTGCTCGCTCCCTCACTTGCCACATCACAAGCCCGGTCAAGCCTTCCTCCTAACTGGGTTGTACTTCCCACTACCAGGACCACCCCCGCCCGCCCACTCTTCCATCATTCCTCACCCAAACAGCAGCAGCAGCCGGCTCCATCTCTATCCTCCCTCCAGCAGCCCGAGAGGTCTCTCCACCACGCCACTGCCCTGCTTACCACCCTTCTTAGGGGCCCACCCCTTCTAAAACTTCTAAACAAAGACAGCATATGGAGGCTGAGGCGGTGGCTCCAGCCTCCTCCCGACGGCAGCTGTGTGTGTGCAGCCTGTCTAAGGGGCGAGAGCTCTCCCCCGTCCCTGCCGGGCGGTCTGTGCTTCTGCTGCCTGGAGGCCAGCAGCGCCTGGCAGACCTGGGCTGGAAGCAACGCTTCACTTCCCAGCGTCATGTACCAGGGCCCCTGCCTGCCTCATCTCCCTGAGCCTCGGCTTCCACCTCTGTTAGGCCCTGACATGCAACAATGACAGCACCGCGTGGTACTTAGGAAGACCGTAAATACTCAGGTATCCAGCTATTCATTCAACAAATGTTTGTTAGCACCTGCTGTGCCAAGCGCTGTCCTGGACGCCGGCGACGCAGCGGTCCAGCAGGCGGGCAGAGCCCTCGGCGCAGGGCCATCCTCTCAAAGCGGCCAGAGGAGGAACACAAGCATCAGGGCGCAGAGTGCCCTCTCCCCCCAGCTCCACGCTCCCTCGGTGCGCTGAGGTTGTCTTTCCAGGACTTTTTTTTTTTAAACACTGAATTTATTGGGGCGACACTGGTTAATAAAACATAGGTATCAGGTACAGAGTTCTACAGAACATCCTGTGTACACTGTACTGTGTGTTTGCCCGCCCAAGCGGGGACTCCCTCCGCCACTACAAGGGGTGGGGCATCGCGAAGGTGGTCCTGCCTTTGCCCTGACGGGCCCTAGATGGCTCCACCTTTTCCGCGGGAGACCAGCCAATGAGACCTCGAGGCCAGAGCCCTCACGTGCTCGCAGCTCCGCCCTTTGCGCCCTGGAGTTCCAGCCAATGAGGACAAGACGCCAGCTCCGGGCGTGGGCCTGGTAACGGAAAGGGGCGGGGCGTCTCTCGGAGGAGCCTCCTCAGGCCCCGGCCCTGCGAGGGCGGAGGAGCTGACAGAGTTGAGGAGTGAGCGGGCCAAGCGCTGGCAAAGCAGGTGGTGAGTGAGGGCGGCTACAAGGCCGGGGTCTTTGCCCGGATGCAGGCTGTGCCCAGCACCTCGAGGCCGACCTCTCACCCCACCGCTCACCCCGGGCCCCTCAGCCCGACCCCTCGCCCAGTCTCCTCAGCCCGACCCCTCAGCCCGTCTCCTCGCCCCTGTGCCCCCGCCCGGCCCCCTCAGCCCGACCCCTCGCCCAGTCTCCTCAGCCCGACCCCTCAGCCCGTCTCCTCGCCCCTGTGTCCCCGCCCCGACCCTCACAAGAGCAGGATTCAGTCCACTGGTGGCGCCCAAGCGCTGGGCCTCCCTGACTCACAGGCGATTACATATTTATTCCGTGAACAAATACTGTTGACAAGTGTCAGCTCTTAGGTCAGGAAGAGAAGAGCCCGAGGAAGCGCAGGGGACCTCGGGGGGCGGCTCGGGCCTCCCTAGGGGCGGGCAGGGGTGCGGGCGGCCGGTCGGTCCGAGGGCGTCACCGCCTCTCCCTCCTGGCGCCGCCGCGCAGATGGCCGCCTCCGACCCCGGGGAGAGGAGCTACGACGACATGCTGAGGATGCTGTCGGACCTGAACAAGGACCTGGAGAAGGTCCTGGAGGAGATGGAGAGGCTCTCAGGTAGGCGCCCCCCCGGGGCCCTCCCCGCGTCCCCGCGCGCAGGGTCCGCGCGCTGCCCTCGCCCGCGGGCCGCCGCGCCGGCGCTCGCGCGAGGAGCGCAGTCGCCGCTGGACGTCGCCTACGCTGCTTCCTAGTGTCCGTTTGCGTCTTGTTTCTGCGCCCGGACTGCTCTCGCCTCGAGGACAGGAACGGCCGCGGGGCACCGCGCCAGACCCCAGCTCGGGTCCGCGGCAAGTGACGAGTGGCGCTCACGCGACACCCGTGAGCGGCGCTGGAGCCCAGCCTCCGCGCCCCGGCCGCGGGAGCGGCGCTCGGGGGCACGGAGTTGCGGCGGCGGGGCGCGGACGGGAGGCTCAGCTCGGGGCCAAAGCGGCAACGGAGCTGAACAACGTTCTCCATTTTTGGAAAAGACCCGTTACTCTTATTCAATGTTTCCACTAAGTGGTAACCAGCAGTGGTAGTAATACCATTATAATTTCTTTAATTTGCTCTTTACTTTACAAATTATAAGAATATGTATAATTCTTATAATTTGTGAGCCTAAGTTTTGCTAGAGAAAATCATAAAACAGATTTTAGAAGGGATGCATACTCAAATGAAAAAATATTTTTAAAGATATTCTTAGTTGGGAAATAATCTCCAGTTATTACAACACGCTTTAGAAAACTTCTGTCTAGAAATCTTTGCAATATTTTCACCTGTGTACTTGAAAATTTTTTAAAGCTACCCTTTGAAAAAGTTCCATGATTCATTTTCTCTATAAGCTATATAAGTCCCTCCATCTAATTAAATATTCTTCTATTCTGCAGCATTTGCTAAGCATCTACTCCGTGTTGTCCTAGGAATATAAGGTTGAAGAGATGCTCCTTCATCAGAGAAGCATGTAGAAGCCAGAAACAGACATCAACATGACTAATTTAATTTAAATATATAAATTAATTTAAAACACATTTTAATTTTATATTAAAAATCATAATCTGGCAAATAAATGCTAATGGCCAAGTACTGGGAAGGGAGCAGAGGAAAAAGAGAGGCCGACTGCTTGGGGAGGCAGGAGAGGCTTTTACACAGAGCATTAAGGCAGATGAGTTGGGGTGCTGGGGGCAGAGAGGAGGGCCATCCAGCAGAAGAGGCAGTCAAGGCCGTGTGCTCAGGAAGGAAAGCCCAGGGCAGTCAAAGAGCCAGATTAGCGCAGGGTTCACAAGGTCGGAAGCCAAAGAAAGAAGAGGATGCAAGGTGAGAACTGTCTACAATCCCAAGCTAAGGAGGAGAGGAAGACATTTGAGTGCTAAATTTTGATTTATAAATGTTATTTTATCTTTCATATTTCTATCTTTAATACATCTGGAGTACATCGTCCTTTTTCATTGATTTTTGGTATTATTTCATCATGTACTAAATTGCCATATATCCTTAGGGTTATCTCTGAGCTTACTACTTTCTTCCACTGGTCTATTCGTACCATGCTATTTTCAAAATAGGAATTTATAAGTTGTCTTGATACCTAATAGAGCATATTGACTTAGTTATTAGGACTTTATTCTTTCATTTTTACAATTTACAAATACTGACAGTTTTCTCTCTCACCTTCCAATCCTTACACCATTTCTTTCTTTTTTTTTTCTATTCCATTTACCAGCATCTCCAATACCAGTAACATTATTAGAGGTATCCTTGTTTGATACCAACCTTATAAGTAATGTATCCACAGTTTCTCTATTACGTATAATGTTTGCTGTAAGTTTTTGGTATATTGCCTTTAGTAAGTAAAAGATGTCTCTTTCTATTCCTAATTTGTTAGAGTTTAATTGTTTAAAATAAAAAAGAGGTATTTAACTTTTTAAAAAGATTTTATTTATTTTTAGACAGAGGGGAAAGGAGTGAAAAAGAGAGGGAGAGAAACATCAGTATGTGGTTGCCTCTCATGTGCAACCACAGGCATGTGCCCTGACTAGGAATCGAACCTGCAACCCTTTGGTTCGCAGGCTGGCATTCAATCCACTGAGCCACACTAGCCAGGGCAAACTTCTTTAACTGCTTCTTATGCATTATGTGAGATATTTTTACGATTTCTCTCCTTTTATTAATGTGGTTAATTATAGTAATTGGTTTTCTGATACTCAACCATCCTTGAATTTCTTTTACAAACTCTGCTTAATCATAACATTACCTTAACAGAGTTACATTTGATTAGGTCATGTTATATTTAGGATTTCACATCTATATTCATGTGAGATCTATAATTTTTCTTGTATTGTCTTTGGTTTTAGAGTAAACTAGCTTAGAGAAAATTGAATTTTTGTTTTTGTTTATCTCTATTCTCGGATGTTCTACAATATAAATGAAACGCTTCTATAAAATGCTTTTCTTTAAGTTATACCAGTCCATATAGTAAGATTATCAGTCTTTCCTCCTTTCCTAATTTCTGGAATCACTTGTATTAGATAAACATTAACTGTTCTTTTAAAAATTTGGTAATAACTCATCTGTAAGACTACCAGGAATCTGAGGTTTGGGGAGGTAGAACTTCATCATTTACAGTTTTAAATGTTTCTTGATCTATTTTGCCGATGATGTGAATTAGCCTGTGATCTGTGACCTCCGGGCTTGTCATCATCCCCTATCACCTGGCTAGCCGACCCTCTTCTCAGTCGCTATGCTTTCTGTCGTCCACTTCTACTTGCCAGGCTCTCAGGGCAAACCCATTTATTGCATCACTAGTCAGTTCTCCCCTCTCCTAAACAGATTTTTGGGACACGTTATCCTCATCCTTCACTAAATTTTGCATCCAGGTGCTGTCCCTCAGTGGTCACTGTCACCAATTCAAGTGCCAATTTGGGGTGCAGTCCAAAAGGAAACACTATTTAGTGCGAACAGCTCCACAGTAATACAGCATAGCTGTGAAAATAGCACTTCTGTGAGCAGCTTGTGCCGCAGTGGAAAAGTGTGAAAACAGCACCACCAGGCTGACTCAGAAGTCATCTCTCTATCAGCTCCAGCTCCAGCCAGGAAAACCCAACCATTTCTCTTCAGTGGAAAATGCTCGCTGGAAGCCAGAGGGGAGCTGGCTTTATGGACAGAAGTCTCCGCCCCTGGTCCCTGATTGGTCCCTGATTGGTACAGCTGTGCAGTTCCCATTGGATGGGGAAAGCCTCCGCCCTATTGGTTGAAACAGGATCCCAGGGACTCCTCTATAAGGGCTGTTCAGCGGGCAGGAAGCAGTGCAGGCCAGGACTGGAGAGGCCTCTGGGCAGAAGTGACTGCTAGGCTTGGCTTTTTCTCCCTTTTTTTTTAGCCCAGGGAGCCACCAGCAGCCCTTCTTAGTTCTCAGGGTTCACAGTGCACATCTTGACCATTTTTTCTTAATTTCTGTGTAAGGACCTTGATCCTACCCAGCAGGTTGTCAAAGTATACAGGGTGAGCCCTGATTAGCCTCTCAGAACACCTGCTGTTCAGGCCCCTCCACATATTATGACTTGGGCTTTGCCACTGGACAGACCTTACCACAAATCCATGGAGAGGGGCCTGCCCTCACCACCTGGTCTGTAATAAGACTCCTCCCACCCCAACTCCCTGTCAACAACATACTGCTTATTTCCTTCGCAGCACCTTTCACCATTTAGAATTGTCTTGTGTGTGTATGTCTCCTCCCTCTGCAACCGGCATAGACACTTCATGAGGGCAGGGGAACATCTGTCCTGTCTTCAGTTGTGTTTCCAGGGTTGCCTTAGTAAAGTGCTGCATAAAGCAAGCGCTCAACAAATACTGAACGAATGAAAACCTCAAGATACATGTATGGCTGGAGTATGTCCTGGTGATTATGAGTCCTTCCTGTCCTGTATGTTCTAAGTATTTTTCCTTGGATCAAACAGAATAGGGCTATGCACTTGCTGTAGTGTTTTGGTGTCTCATTCAATTGCCTTTTCTGAACTGTGCTTTGGTGCTGTGCCATCAGCTTTCTTACACCTGCAACTACAACTGTAGACACAGAAGAATCACCTTGTGATTAGGGTAAGGACTTGTAATCACCATAATCAAGGGCGTTTTCAGCTGCACTACAATTCTCATAACATATTCCTATAGGACAATTTTTTCCTCAGGATAAAAGTGTCTTACATAGTGGGTTTTTTTTTATTCTGTGGTCACTGGGTCTTGTACATGAGCATGTTTTCTTTTCTGCTTTGGCCTTAGAAAACTCAGAGATGGAATTCCAGCTCCTTTGTAGGATTATATGAGATTCATTTCTGTGAGCTGTTTTTCCTCTGCATTGTAATTTGTTACCTACCTCAACTCTTTGCCCTAAATACCTCAATTATTTATTTTGTAGTAAGAGTTTATTCTTTTGTGCTAGACAGTTTACTATCATTCTTTTAGTCTTCACGGGGAGCCAAGATTAGGACGCTGTCTGTCCCTTACAGATGGAAAGCTGAGGGGAGCAAGTTTGAGTCACTGTTGTAGGTCACACAGCTGGGAAGTACAGAGCTGGAGGAAAAGTCTGACTCCACCTGCTCTCTGCTCTGTAGGGTGACTCCCATGCTTCCCAAAGTTCAAGGATTCCCGGCCTTGTTATATACTCATATACCCTCTATCTGTTGAGGTACTGCACGTACCTTGTCTAACAACTTCTCCTTGTCAGGCAGAAGGGCTTAGGTCCCTTGGTTTTTGTAGTTCTAGAAGGTAGAGACATACCAGTGGGGTAGGGGCTGCAGAGAGAAGGGTCTGGATGTGGGGTTTTGGTATAAGCAGCACGTGTTCAGCTATAGGCCCAGGGGACGCTGCCCTCCAGTTGCCCTCAAAGGGAAAGGTCAAGAAAGTCGGTCAGAGCAGTGGAGAGCAACAAAGGACACCTAACATGCATTCAGCAAGGCTTCCCAGAAGGAGGAGCTCTGGACTGGCCTTAATGAAGGCAAAGAGGTGCCCAGGTGAAGGTGGACAGGCATCCCAGGCCACTGAGCACAAGGTCACATGAGGCTCGGGACCTTGCAGGAGTGGGAATGGTCAGCCCTGCCTGAGCACTCGGGTGAGCTTGGTGGGTGTTACCACTCCTTGAGAGTCATCCTTCACCCACTAGCCGTGAACTGTGGATAGGTAGGGACTTGCGTTTGCTCTGATTTTTCCTAGCATTTCCTAGCAGACTGGCCTCCAGCCTTGTAGTGTCATGGGCTCACACATCCAGAAGGTAAGGCTTGTGTGAGATCAGGAAAGCTTCATCACTGCTCTGTGCAGGGAGGAGTTTTAATAGCGGGTTTTGTGAGCCCTGAAACAAGTTGCTAACCAGCTTTCTCTCCATAGAATAATTGGGTGACTCAGCCGGCCATCTGGAGGGCCCTGGGTGCTCCAGAGCTGCAGCCCCACCCTGTGACCTGACCAGGCCTGTCTGGTTGTTGCAGTTCAGGCCACGTGGATGGCCTACGACATGGTGGTGATACGCACCAACCCCACACTGGCAGAGGCCATGCGCCGGCTGGAGGACGCCTTCCTCAACTGCAAGGAGGAGATGGAGAAGAACTGGCAAGAGCTGCTCAGTGAGACCAAGCGCACGCAGTAGGCCCCCCACACCTCGGCCGCCAGGCGGCTGTCTGCCTGTGTGCAGAGCCACTGGGGGTGGAGCCTTCTCTGCCTGGCAGAGAAACTAACCCCAATACACAGCTGCGTGCACAGCACTTGTTTCTCTATAAACTTATTTTCAGGCACAACCTGATGAGTCCTGTCCGTCCCTCCCCACCAAGAACAAAACACAGGAAGTGTGACATGCAGATGCTGCCAGTGAATTAAGCATATTTAGTGCCAAGCAAAGAATAAAAAGCAAAAAGGGCAGCTAGGGACAAACCAGGTCAGAGGGTGGGATAGGCAGCCAAATTCAGGTTTATTTACCTCCCAAAGTGGACAATGGGGAAAATTATGTTATGTATCAGGCTGTGCCAGGTGCTCATATATGCAATCTACGTTCCCACAGTTCTCATGAGCAACATGTCCATTATCCCCGCATAACAGGTGAGAACACAAAGTTAGCCGTCTTGCCCAAGTCCACACAGCTAAAGAGGGGAAGAGCTAGGGTGCATCCCAAGTCCCATTTAAGAAGAGGGTTGGTGGAAAGTGGGGTGGGAAGTGGAGGGACTGAGCAGGTGAGAGTGACCCTACAAGGCTGCAGAGGGACATGAATCCCAGCCAGATCTGGGCTGGGATTATGGGCAGAGGCTGCCGGGAACAGAGCAGGGTCAGAGACAAGGGTCTCAGGCCCCGGAGGACCAACCAGACAGAGGAGAGCTAAGAGCTGTTTCTGGGGACAGCTATGCCAGGCACTCCAAGGCCTCAGGATGGGCAGAAAATCCCACATGCAAAGATGTTTTCCCGGGGGCCTCTTTGCTCCTGTTCCTTCTTCCCAGACCCTCGTGGGCCCCTTGCCTGGCTTTGAGCCCTAGGGAAGCCATCGCCTTCCTGTGATCGGCAGTCCCCGACTCCGCAGGAGGCCGAATCCAGGTCTTTGGGGACACGGGCAGTGTGGTTGGTGCTGTGACGGGAACCTGGCCATGGGAGCCTGCTGTCTCAAGGAGGGTTCGTGTGAGCGAGCGGAAGCATTGGGGCCAGGACTTACTCATACAGGCGGGAGGACACGGGCGTGGTGCAGACATCCAGCAGCCAGCTCACGGGGGCAGGGAGCCTGGCCCTCTCGCAGGAGGGGAACGGGGGAGGGAAAACACGAGGCTTGTCATAATGGAAAAGGAAAGTTGCTCTGGAATGAAGAGCAGCCAGCTCCCTGTGCCCCGCCTGGCCTCAGAGCCCTGCCAGGGCCTGCCTGGAGACAGCAGCTGCCGTCCTGGTGCCGAGCGGCTCAGAGAGCAGTCTGCATCGGGTCCGCGGGGGGCAGAGTCAGGATGAATGGGCAGAGGACCCCTTTACTCCCCAGGGGAAAGGGCTGCAGCTCCTTGGCCTGGAACTGGGCGGTCCCCTCAGAGACCGTGAAGGTGGCGGTGACCTGGTGGTTGAGACAGTAGATGGTGTTGCCCAGCACCGTACAGCGGAGCGGGACAGGGTCTGGCAGGGGCAGGGGGGCTGCTCGGCTCCAGGAGCCCGTCACTGTGTTGTAGCGCATCACAGCGGCACCCACGCCACGCAGCAGGTCAAAGCGGTAGAGGAAGCCCCCCAGTGCCACCATGTCGCTAGAACGCCTGTGGCTGGCACTGTAGGGGCACTCGTCCCATGCATCCTTCACAGGGCTGTACCTGAGCAGGCGGTAGAAGAGGTGGCCCCCAGTGACATAGATATCTCCACGGCAGGCCACAGCCTCATGTGCCACAGGGAAGGTGCCTGCAGGGAGGGGCGCGCGCGAGGTCCAGGTGTCTGTGCGGGGGTCGTAGCGCTCCATGCTGTACAGACACTCGCCCCCGATGGCGTAGAGCAGCCCGTCCAAGGCCACCAGCTTGAGCTGGGCCCTGGCCTGCTGCATGGGCCGCACCTGGCTCCAGATGTTGGTCAAGGGGTTGTAGCAGAAGACCTCATTGGAGCAGACAGCCTTGGTGCCAGAGCCACGGATGCCGCCCGCCAGGAACAGGTAGTTGTGCATGGTGCAGAGGCCACAGCCCCGCAGCGGGACCTCCTCTGGCACCCGAGTCAGGAGCCGCCAGGTGTTCTCTTGGGGGTTGAACATGTGCAGGTGCGATGGAAGAGGTGGGGGCACAGGACCCACAGCAGGAGCCTCCTCCATGTGAGGGCCCCTTGTGAGCCCTGAGCGGCTCACCTGGTAGAGGCTGGGCAGCACGAGGACCCCCAGCACGGCCTGGCCCCTGCCAGTCCGAAGGCTCAGGATGCGCTCTCGGTCAGCCCCGCTCAGCTGCCTGTAGAGGTGTGGGTCCCCCAGCACGTGCAGCAGATTGTCACTCATTAAAGCATAGGTCTCCTGGGCCAGGTTGGTCTTTCCGTGCTGCTGAGCAAAGGCCAGTACATCCAGGCAGCTGCCAAGGTCCAGCCGCCGCTGCAGAGCTGATGCCAAGGCTGGCTCCCGGGCCAGGGAGCTGGGCTTCCGGGGCCCCTCCACCACCCCCCAGCTCCCAGGCCTCTGCAGAAACACCATGAGTTTGCGGGCCTCTTTCTGTTTCTCTGTGAGGGCACCTCTGCTGCTTACAGGGCGGGGCCTCTCCCCCGGCCCCTCGCGTGGGGCTGCCTGGCCGACCTTCCACTCAGAGCTCCCTGCCACTTCTATCTCGCACATGCTGCGTTTCCGTGGCCTGGGGACAGGCTGTGGGTCTCCCCCAGCAGGGGGGGAAGGAGCAGGCCCAGGCTGCATCTTCTCAGGCAGCCGAGATGGGGCCCTGGGCACTGCAGCCTCACTCACCTCAGAACTTCTCTGCTGTGGCCGACACCCAGCCTCAGCCAGGACCCCTGTGCCTGCCCCTGAGACCGTCTCAGCAGGGGAACCCTGCCTGTCCTTGAGGCCCAAAATGGCCCTTTCAGAGGGAGAGCCAGACTCTCTGTTCTCTGAGGCTGTGGAAGTGCTGGGCTCTCTAGGGCTCTCCAGAGCTGCCGGTAAGGCTGTCCCTTGAGGCTTCTCTTGCCTGGGGAGGGGGTGACTCCTAAGAACCATTGAAATAAGGTTTCCCCAGCTAGTTGAGATCTGCCCCTCCTGGTTGCCCTTGCAGATAGCTATGCTAGGCTCCTGACATTCAGGCTTTGACTTACTTGTGGGGGCAGGGGTTGTAGCTGGGGCTGGAGTTGGGGCTGAGGCTGGAGCTGGGGCTGGGGCAGGGGATGTAGCTGGGGCTGGGGCTACAGCTGGAGGAGGGGCTGCAGTTAGGGCTGGGGCAGGAGCTGAGGCTGCGGCTGTGGCTGAAGCTGGGGCTGGGGCTGAAGTTGTGGCTGGGGCTGAAGTTGTGGCTGAGCCTGAAGTTGTGGCTGGGGCTGAAGTTGTGGCTGAGGCCGCAGCTGGGGCTGGGGCTGGGGCTGGGGCTGGGACTGGGGCTGCAGCTGGGGCTGGGGATGTAGCTGGGGCTGAACCTGCAGCTGGGGAAGAAGCTGCAGCTGAGGATGCAACTGGGGCTGGGGCTAGGGCTGCAGCTGAGGCTGAGGATGCAGTTTGTACTGGGGCTACAGCTGGGGCTGGGGATGCAGCTGGAGCTGAAGCTGCAGCTGAGGCTGGGGATGCAGTTGCGGCTGGGGCTGAAGCTGCAGCTGAGGCTGAGGGTGCAGCTGGGGCTGAATCTGCAGCTGGGGCTGGAGATGTAGTTGGTACTGGGGCTGCAGCTGGGGCTGGGGATGCAGTTGGAGCTGGGGCTGCAGCTGGGGATGCAATTGGGGCTGGGGCTGCATGTGAGGCTGCACCTGGGGCTGCACCTGGGGCTGCGGCAGGGGCTGGGGCTGGGGCTGGGGCAGAGGTTTTGGCTGGGGCTGCGGCAGGGGCTGGGGCTGGGGATGCACATGAGGCTACAGCTGAGGCTGGGGATGCAGTTGGAGATGGGGCTGCAGCTGGGGATGCAATTGGGGCTGAGGTTGGGCCTGCACCTGGGGCTGGGGCTGGGGTTGGGGCTGTCGCAGGAGCTGTGGCAGGGGCTGGAGCTGGGGCTGGGGATGCAGTTGGAGCTGGGGCTGCAGCTGGGGATGCAATTGGGGCTGGGGCTGCATGTGAGGCTGCACCTGGGGCTGCACCTGGGGCTGCGGCAGGGGCTGGGGCTGCAGCAGGGGCTGGAGTTGCGGCAGGGGCTGGGGCAGGGGCTGGGGCTGCACCTGGGGCTGGGGATGCAGCTGGAGCTGGGTCGGCAGGTAAGAGGTCTTGCTGGGGCTGTGCTTCTGTTGGGTTAGCTGAGCGTGAGGCCGGCTTACTGGTGAGTAGGGGGCTTGTGGCTGAGGGCGATGGAGAGGGGGCACGGCAGAGGCTGTCTGTGGCTGGCTTCTCTGTGTCCCGACTGACAGCCCCCTGCCCGCGGCTCGGCACCCCCTGGCCTCCCTGAGGTTCTCTCCCTTTTCCAACACTGTGGGCCTCTTGCCCTTCTGTCCCACCTGGCCCTGAGCTGAAGAAAGAGTGGTCTCCAGAGGCATTAGCCTCAGACCTTCCAACATTGGAGGCCACTGTGGTCCCCTGTCCTTGGGACATGAGAATGCGTCCCCACTGCTGCTCCTCCGGCCACGGGCCCATGGAGCCTGGGGCTTGGCTGAAGCTCCTGGTGGCAAGCACCTCCCTTCTTGCCCAGGGCCAGCCTTCCGCTGAGGTTGGGGACCCCTGAAACTCCCTGGGGGCCCGGGGCCCAGCCTCCCTGCTCTCACCAGCTTTGGGCCCTGAATCCAGAGCTAACACTGGGGCTGGTTGGGGTCCGCTTTCCCCGCACCCTGTCTCCGAGCCATCTGTCAGGGGCCCCATCTGCTCGGGGTCTGGTAGGGGCAGCTCCTGGGGGTCGGAGGGCCTCTGTGCGCCTGCAGAGAGGCTTCGGGCTGCGTCCACAGTGTCCCACACACTCACCACAGTGCCCAGGCGTCGGGGGTCCAGCTTTGGGGAGCGGCAGGTTCTATCCCTGGCGCTGCCGTCCGCCTGCCACCGCCGACTGCCTGAACCTCTCCCCGACGAGCGGGGCGGCCCCACTCCGGGCTTCCAGAAGCTGGCCTCCTGTTCCACTGTGTGGGCTGGGGCCTGGTGAGCTGGCGCCTTGGCGCAGACGCCTCCTGCTTCTGCCTGCACCTCCATTTCGCTGTCCGGGCTCCGCGGAGTGAAGTGTATCATGAGAGGGGCAGGTGTCCCCCCTACTTTGCTCCTACCCTGGAGGGCAGCGCCTGGGCTGAGGTGCTCCTTTCCTTCACCTTGGGGGACTTCTGGGGTGGAGTTGCCATGCTGCTGTCCCAAGGCCCCCGCACTGGCCACCTTGCCGGGTGTCTTGAGTGGAGGAGCGTCTGTGGCGGTCAGATCTCCACTTCCTGGGGGCTGGTGATCCCGGGCGCCAGCTGCAGCTGGACTCCCCTGGCTGAGTCCCGGGGGGTCTGGCTTCCCCTGTCCTGAGCTATGTCCCTCGGCACCACCGCTGACCTTGGCCTTTGGGGACAGGGCTGGCGCAGCTCCTCCCGCCTGGAAAGGCTGGGCACTGGGGCCTGAGGACGCGGGTCCTGCTGCCTCCTGGTCCTGCCCAGAGCCAAACCAGTGCAAGGCCAGCGCTGTGGCAGCCACAACAGCCAGGGCCAGCAGGGTGAGCACAGCGCTGTCCCAGTCATCGTCCCCGTCCCCGTCCCAGCCCCAGCCCCAGCCGGGGCTGCCAGGCTCCGAGGCGCCCGGAGTCATGGTGCTGGACAGCAAGCCCAGCGCGAGGAGCCGGGGCGGCAGGCGGGAAGCTGCGCGCCGCTAGCGAGCCTGCCCTGCACCCAGGCCGTAGGCGCAGATGGCATGGGGGGCGCCCCGCCCAGAGGGCCGCCCGGCGAAGGCGGGCCCGCTCCCAGGCCCTGTCGCTCTGCCGGGCCCGGGAGGGGGGGCTCTCTGCGCCCGCTCCCAGGCTTGGGGGCTGTCAGAAGGCCGTCTACAGCATCTCCAGGAGCGTGGGGGCCTCTCCAGGACCCCCGCCCAGCTCCTGCCCGCTGTGCACCATAGGCTCCCGTGGCAAGGGGCAGCGCCCCTCAACACTGCTCTGGCGCCCCAGCCCTCCTGCCTCTGCCTGACAGACCCTCATGCCCCAAGCTCCTCCCACACCCCAGAGTCCCTCGCCCCGCGGGGGGCTCTGGCAGGGAAGGGTTACCATAGGGAGATGTTATCTGCAGCTTTAGCAACATGATGCAGCCCTGATACAATTACCAGAAACTGGAGAAGACGATTCCACTGGGGGCCAGTGGGGGAGGGGTGGGGTGGGGCCCTAGCCCGGTGCCAAGCCTGCAGGCTGCTCTCAGGCCGCGGAGGCTGTGGGTGCTGGCGCCAAGCGCTGTCCAGCCCAGGGACGGGCTGCTGGAGAGGCGCGACCTCCAACTGCTGGTGTGCCCGGGAGGCCTGTGCCACTCTCTACCAGGAGACGGCAGGGGGCCTTGGGGTGGTGGGAGTCAAGCCCAAGCCCCCGCCCCCTCTCCTGCACAAGCCTCTGGACTTTCTCTTACCTGAGTTCAACAGCAATGACATAGCTTTCAAAAGAAACTTTCTAAGTCACCAAGAGGGGGGAAAAAAAAAGGAATGAAACAAGTCCAAAAGTTGTATTTCCCTCTTCACTGGCCTGGCTTGTTGCAGCCACCTGGCCCTTCCAGAGCCTCCGGGCTGCCCGCTGCACCTTCAGGCGCCCTGACTGCCCAGCTGCTGCCCCCTCCCCCGCAGAGCTCTGCGCCAGCCTAATGCGCTCTCGTTGCCTCCTCCCCTCAGCCAACCCCTGGGGTCCCTCAGGAACCTTTCTCTGGCCTTCGGTGTGCTCTCAGCCTGGCTTCTGGGTGTCCCATCTCAGCCTTGGCCTCCCCTCGTCCCCGCCTAGTTGCTCCGCTCCCACCCTCCGCGGCAGGACTCGGGCCCCACGCGGGCCGGCCGGCAGGGAGAGCCCGTGGGGCCGGCAGCTGCCTCGCCCCCACCTCCCGAGCCCGGGAAACGGCTTTGTCTCCTCATCTGCGTCTCACTTAAGCTGATCTCAGGAGTAAATCTTGGGACAGGTGCCAGGCGGGGCCTAGATGTGAAAAAGAGACTGAGGTCCCTGGTGTAAAGCTGGGCCCTCCATGGCATGTGTTCGTCCCTCTTTCTGGGACACAGCCTTCTCCTGACGCGGCAGCAAGGGGCCTGCCAAGGAGCGTCCCTGGCACCCCGCCTGGGCTCCGCTGAGCCTCAGGTGTCTCGCTGTCGGGCTGTCTCCTAGCTCCCCGAGCCGATTAGGTGACAGCGAGAGGGTGGGAGGGGGGCCCGTGCCTGAAGGTGGACCTCAGGGCGGGGGCTGGCTTTGTGGGTGCTGCCCCCGTTCTCATCCCCACGCTCTGTTGCCTCTTGGTTCAGTGCGGGAGCCGAAGACCTCGAGGAGATGACGAGGACACCCTGCATGCGCCCCTGCAGGCCACGCCGCGCCCCTGCAGGCCACGCCGCGCCCCACCGGCTTCCGCAGACCCGGGCGCCGCTCTGCGCTTGCCTCGGAGAACAGGACAAGGGCCCGCCAAGCAGTGCCCCCGGCCTCCCTGGCAGGGAGGGACCAAGCACAGGAAAGCGTCCCAACCAGCCTCCCAAGAGGCCAAGGACCATGGTGGCCCTAGGGACACCGGTGACCCAGGGCGGGTCCCGTCCCGTCCTCTGTGGAAAGAAAATACCCCCTTTTTCAAGTCCAGATCAAGGGCGAAGCCCTGCCCCGTGCGGGGCCCTATCAGCAAGGCGACCGAGGACCTTCGTCCCCCACCCCCCGAGCTGTGGAGGTTTGCCCGCCTCACCTCCCAGGCCATAGCATGTGCTGCTGGCAAGAGGGCGGGACTTGGAAAACCGTGGGTAACCGCCCTTGCGCTGTGCCAGCACACACACCGCACAGGCCTTCAGGGTAAAGACTGACATTCAGGAAAATGGGTCCCTGGGAGGCCTGGCCCTTCACAGCTCCCTGGGAGCAAGGAGGGTCCGTGCCCGAGCAGGGGCAGGGGGACACGCGCAAAACAAGAACCAGGCTGTCTCCCGGCAGCCCTCCCTGCCCGCAAGCCAGGGCCCGTGGAGGGGGGCACATCCGCACAGCAGCCGGTCCCCAGCAGCGCCCG